AGCGTGTGTGTGTTAGTGTGTCTGTGAGATTGTTTGAGTTAGTGTGTACATGTGCTTGAGCGTGTGTGTGTTAGTGTGTCTGTGAGATTGAGGAAAGTGATGGAAACCCCTGCAGGAGCTACAGTCTCAGTCATGTCACTTATGCATTGAATTGGATTTATTATTACAGTTTAGGATAATTATTTTTAATACTATTGTTTCAGCTCAGCTTTGCTTTCTGTCTGAGATGTTCTGGATGGTACAGTGTAACATGATAACAAAAGTTTACTGTTTCATCATTATTATTACAATATTTGTAGTAAGTGTGTGAGCGTGCCTAGGCATAAAAGTGTATTCTATTTGGAGGATATTATTAATATTATTATTATTATTATTAACAACGTAGTTTCTCTGACTGCATCACACCACCTCTCTGGGTCTCTTCCCATTCCCATTCACCGCATCTCCATAGCAACCGGTCATTTCTCATTCACACAGTTTCCACGGTTACTGGCCTCTTCTCATTCATAACTGTTTCCACGGCAACAGGGCCCTTGCTCATTGATAGAATCTTGGGGAGGCATCAGTATTCTGAGCCCGTTCAGCATTGCCGCGGCAACGGGACCAGGGGAGGGGCCCATGCTATTGATTTCTATTTTTTCTTTTTTGAAAGGCTTGGAGTCTCTTCTCTGCTGCTACAGAAGACACATTCACAAAAACACAGAGACACTAAAACTCACAATGCTCCCTGCTTCTAAATATATGCTTTATGACACAATAACAAAACCTGACATTTTCAAACACAGATGAACACACTTACAGAGCTGCGCGTTCTGCAGTGTGTCCCAGACGTGAATGCCTCGGTATCTCTGTGTGTGTGTGTGTGTGTGTGTGTGTGTGTGTGCGCGTGCGTGCGCGTGAGTGTGTGTGTGGTTGGCAATGTGGCAGTGCCATGTGTTCACTCAGTGTGGGCGCCTGTCCACTCAGAGCCACCCTGCTGCGCGCCAGGCTCACTGCTCAGCGCGCCAATGACTCATTCCGCCAGGAGGAGCCCAGCCCTCTCCCAATGACACAGAGAGACATACTTGCCGAAGTGGGTCATCAGAACTTTGCTGCTGTTCTGATGGGCCACACTGCAGCTCTCAGACTCTCGCCTTCATGCTGCCTCTTTCTCTAGCCCTTTCTACCAGCCACTAACCCACACTGCTTCCCCAAGTCATTCCCTGAGCCCTGATCTCCTGTCAACACTTCCTTCCTGGTCATTCCCTGTGCCCAAATCTCCAGGCAACACTGACTCCCTGGGTCATTCCCTGAGCCCTAATCTCCAGACCATACTGGCTCCCTGGGTCATTCCCTGAGCCCTAATCTCCAGACCACACACTGCCTCCCTGGGTCATTCCCTGAGCCCTAATCTCCAGACCATACTGGCTCCCTGGGTCATTCCCTGA